GGGACAGTTCAGTGCGCCCATACCCTTTCTATGGCGGGTGGATTGCAGCCGATGTCGGATGGGTGATCTGGGGGCGCCGCGCCAGGTGCGCACCAATGTAAATTCTGGTCAAGGTTGTGGGGGCGCTGGACGGAGGTGGAGGAGGGACGGGAAGGCATTGCGGGCTGGTAAACCATCTGGCAACGTCGAGCAGCCCGTCCGCGGAGCAAGCGTACAGCAATAACTGCGTATTTCCGCACCGCCGCTAGATGCAGCGAGATCCCCGCGCAGACGGCGCCAAAGCACGCAGGCGGAGCGGAGGGACGTGGGGGCGAACGCGGGGGCGCGCGCGACGCCGTAGCCGGCAAGGGTGGGTGCAACATCGCCGAGAGCGGTCGCCGTCGCCGAGCGCGGTCGCGGACGCTGGAACGCGATCTCCTTGACTGCGCCGGTCGAGCGTCGAGTAGGGGCCGGAGGAGGAAGTGTATCCTTTGAGCGACCGGTCCGCGAACCCGAGGTATGGACGAGTTTGCAGCAACGAGCGGTACCGCACGCGAGTGGTCGCTGCCGTGGATCGAGGCAAGTGTGGGCCGCACGCCAGTGGCCGACCTTCGCGAAGGGCGCATGAGATGTTCGCGATGCCGCGTGCGCGGCCGTAGCGAGGTCGCGCTCGTGTTCGGAGGTATAAACGACAACGTCACCCCGCTAGTGCGGCCGCATCAACTTCTTCCACCCGTTCAGAGTCGCGGCCGACGCTGGGCTGCTGGGAGTAGGTGTCCGGCCGAAGTCGTCGCATACAGAGCCACAGGTTCTGTCGGAGGTGTTGCTCCGCATACGGTGGCCCGATCTGAGGCTCTGTGGGATTGAGGGCTGCCGCGCTTGCCTCGGTTGACACCCGGCTTCGCACGAAGTTGACGCCCTCGTCGCGGCTGTCGCACACGCGCGCCCGAGCGCACAATGTCACTGCATCGGAGCTGCGCTGCCTGCAACTGACGAGATGCTCCTGCGCTCTTCTGCCAGAGAGGGCCGCCCAAGCATCGCGGTCGGCAAGAGGATGGCCCTCGATCTTGGGGACTCGTTAGCTCCGGCAAACCAAGCTGAAGATGCAGCACACACCTGAAGGCTTGATGGCTCACAGCGCAGGCCATGTTCCTCCCCGACTTCTTCCGCTCTTCGCGACCTTCGCTGACGCCTCTCCGCCAGCGGATGCGGCCACGGCGCCCTCGTTTGCCCTCGCTCAGTCGGTCGAACGGTCAGCTATCGGCTGTCGTCAGCGTGACGGGGATGCAGTCTCGCAGAGTAGAACGTACAGCGTGCAAGGGCCAGGAAATGTAGGGCGCTGACAAGGCGTAGGCAGTGCGAGCGCAGAGAGCGGATGCATAGTTGTGCTGTGCTCGTGCAAAATCCACTGCGCGTGCGTGTCCAAACTTGCGCGCGGCGCGACCTCCATGGTGTGTCTTGTGTCTGTGGAACACCGTCAGCACCGCCGCCACGACTACTGGAACCTCCCTGACACGGATCGTCCTTGCACGGGTATTCGGAACGAAACCCAGTCATCTCTGCGTCCCCACTGGAATTCGGACGCCAGACACCTGCCGCCCAATCCCCAGAACACGAATCCAGCACTGTCTGACCCCGTGGTTTGCCTGCGGTCGTGGATGCTTTCCCGCTACGGCACCACAGCAAAAGACATCGCGGCCGTGGGGAGATCGAAAGGGACGCAGGACGGGAGGCACGCACGGGAAGAAGACAAGAGCGAGGGCAGTGCGAAACGTACCTGGAGGCCCGATCTCATCCTCCGCTTGTGTGCGGCGATGTGCGTGCGGGCTTGCATCCGTCCGCAGGCGAGTGTGCAGAGGGGACGAGCTAGACCAGATAAAAAGTGGGCAGACAGAGTCGCAGAGGGTCGGCCGCCGGGGATGTTTTGCAGTTCCGGTCGGTGCGCGACCTGTGCTTCAACATCATGCTTGATCTGGAGGGCGTCGTCAGCGGGCGGTGTGGCGCGGCGCGCGGGGAGATCGCATGCTCGCGAGCGTTCCGTTCACCGAATTGACCGCGGGCCACGCGGGGCGTGGTACACAGTGGTCCCCGTCCCACTCGATCGAGCAGTGCGTCCCGCCTACGGGCGGCCGCGTCAGTCAGCGGGGCAGGCGCACGGAGGAGCGGGCGCGGACGCACTAATCGCCCGCGCGCCTGTGTCGAGCACGACGTCTTTGAGACGGGGCTTGCGCCCGAGCCGGTACGTACGCGATACGCTTGAGCCTTGATGCGTGCGTTCGCGGCGTTGCATGGGATAGCCACGCCCACAAGTCGTCGTCGGCTGGGTGTTCGATCTGGGACACGAGCTGCGTCGCGGTCTGGGTTTTGAGGGGCTGTGTTTCCTTTACCGTGGGTAGGTAAGTACCTGTGCGGGACGGTATCAGCGATAGGCGAGCGCATACAGCGGGAGAGGCGTACACGAGTGGCTCTACTGGTGTCTTGTTGAGGTCTGGCATCGTCGCCGTGACACGTCGGGAACTGCTCAGTGCACCGAACATCCTGTTCATACGGCGGGTCGATTGCAGCCGAGCTCGAGTCGATGGTTTGGGGGCGACGCACCAGGAATGCACCAGAGTAAACTCTGGCCATGGTTATGGGAGCGTTGCACATGGAGGAGGAGGAGGGACGAGAAGGCGAGAGTAGCGCTCGAGCCCTTGGCGCACTGCCTGCTGCTCAGCACGCCGGGGCTCTCGCGGCATGGATGACGCTGGACGAGGTCCACACGTCGCGTACAGGCTCAGGCTGCGCACGCGCACACGGCGGTTTGTCTTGCGTGTGCCGGGCCCGGACGATGCGCAGGAGGTCGACGTGTCCTGCATACGACTGCGACACCCCCTCGCGGACACGCGGCTGGCGGTGCTGGAACTCGTGGTGCGCAAGGAGTGGTGCGCGACGGGGGCGGCGCTCCGGGAGGCGTTCACGGAGGAGAGGTGCTGGGAGAGCGTCAGAGAGCTCTCACTCGAGCTGGAATTTGACGGGACGCTCGAGCGGGCGGCGTGCGCCGTCCTGGTGCATGGCTCTGGCTCTTGCCCTGGCGGGCCTGCTCCCCGTTGTCCCGCTGTGTGCGTATGCGTCGTAGAGAGTGCAGGGAATGTCCAATCGTAGGCTTGAGTGAGACTGTGATTAGGAGTGTGACGGGAAGTGTGCTGGCACCGACTGCGAGGAAGTAGGGCGCGCGTGCCCCGCGGAAGCGAACGAGCAGGTGTTCTATCGGGACGATGGCACGGGTGTACACTGTGTCTCGCGTTCTGCGAGAACGAATGGTCCCTCTCGAGCGCGAGCGTAGGCCAGCCATTCTCTGCTTGCACGGGATGTGAGTGTGGAATTGTGGTCTAGGAGCGTTGGGTACCTACCTCATATTCAACAGCCTGGCGCGTTGAGGGTTAGGTGCGGCCAAGGTACAGATGATTGAACGGCGACGGCGCCGTCTGGCGCGTTCTGTGCGAACACGGACGTGGTTGGGCGAAGGACGGAGTCAGTGGGGCACAGACGCTGTAGAACGATGGGGTGAGGACGGCGGGAGAGTCGGAGGGGGGAGTATTGGCTGGGAGAAGGCCTGGGAGGACGAGCGTCGAGAAGATAGATGGGCACGTACGAATATTAGGTGGCAGCAAGCAGGCTCTCATCTGCATCGTTGACCGCCCGCTCCGGGCCAGGTGACAACGACGGCCATTCGCCATTGGGGGTAGAGATACGCGTGTGGTTGGTTTGCACCCGCTAGCTGACGGGTTCTTGGGTGATATCTGGCGGCGGGGAGTGCTTCGAGGGTGTGGGGACGGTGGTCGGACGGCAGATCTGTGCGCGTTCGTTGCGAGAGTACAATGAAGGGTGGAGAGCGAAGGGTGGTCACACACGGACGTGACAGCCAATTGAGAGGCGTGCGGGAGCGGAGCGTCGATGGTCGATGGTCGACGGGTCGAATTAAGGCATCGGCGGGACGCTGGGGATGGCGGAACGTTGTCTCGATCGCTGTACGCCCTGGGACGCAACGGCGTGTAGGCGAGTGTGTTGGGCGAGGTCGTGACGCGTTGAGGGGCGGTACGCCGATGACGCGTTCTGCCGACTGCGGTGCGCCCTGCTCAAGCGCTCAAGTCCAAGGCTGGTCAGCAAGCGCCAAGCGCTGGGCGAAAGAGGCGTCACCGCAGGCGCTCGATTGCGTCATGCGAGCGAGGTGCACTCCGCGTCAAGCGAGTTCGCGCCTTCCTCGCCCTCTCGACCGCCCCGCCCTCTCTCAGCCCATCTCGTACTTGCAAGCGTCTGGGCGTCGAGAAGAACACCGAGTCCCGCCCTCTGCGTTCCAGCTCTCCGTGATCAAGGTCCGTGCCTCTTCCTTTGCACCCGACGATGTCTAACGTGAACCCGACAGGACACAGTAGCTGCACATTGGCACAGTTCGTCTACCTCCAGAACAAGCTATCACCAATGCGCTCAACGAGGTCCACGCGAGACGCGTCTTGCACCCGTCGGCCTGTGCACACGCTCTTCGTCTTCGCGGAAGTACAGCAGGGCAAGGTGCGGCACGGAGATGGATGTCTGTGGTACAAAGATCGGTGAGTCTGTCTCGCACTGGGTGGATCTACGACTACCTTCTCTGCGTCTTCCGTCCCTTTGGATCCGAGGTCATCCTCGCCAAGATCAATTCCTCGGATGAGGACGGTGTCCGACGTCCGTCTATTCCGCCTTGTTCTCGCGCCCCGAAGCTCTCGCGCGTAGTCACTGTCGAATTTTTGACGACATCTACGTCCCCCTTGTCTACCTCCCGGAACCCTGAGCCTTGTACGTGCTCCTCTCTCTGTCCTGTCTTCCCCGAAACCCATGCCGTCCCCCCAGCGACCCGAAAGACTGAGCACATTTCTGGCTGCCGGGATCGGAAACAACCTCGTCTCACGAGCTCCTCGAATCGCCCCTGACGGACCGGGTATACATCGACGCCGGCGATATCCTCCGGGCGCGGGCCGAGGCAGACGAGTTCCTTGACGATGAGCTCGGACCGCCGAAGACGCGTGAGGTTGTTCAGCAGGCTCGTGAGATGCGCCGTTCCCCGTATACCATCACCGTGAGTGCCTTCCCTGCTTCCCCCCGTCGGTGGAAAATTGCTTATGTCTTATTCTGATTCCAGGCCCGATGTCAGAACAGCGACTTGGGCAGTGGAGGAACGCTGGCGTCGAAACAACGGAGGATGGCTTCGGACATGTAATCAGACCGGACCGCGTACTTCTTGTTTGCTCGTATCCTTCGGAGACATGTTGTAACCCGTTCACTTCAACCAGGACCAGCATTTCTAACTCGAGAGGAAGCGGAGCTGGAGGATGAAATTTCGCATCTGATTGCCATCACAAGCTATTCTGTAGAATATGTTCTCTGTTCTCGCCATGTAGACGTACACGAAATAATAAAGCCCAGGACCAGTCACCCCACGTCCTCCCGTAGCCCTGCACATGCAACACCATCGCATGAAGACGCGCACGACGAAAATCTAAGGTGTGCGCGGTGTATCCGTGGGTGCTGCTGGCGAAGTGGCAGAAGCTACGTGGGCGCCACGGGCATTTCGTGTGGAGTGGCAGCGGCGTCCACCACGGGGGAATCCGCAGGGCTGTGAGACGGGGTCAGCGTCGGGAATCGCACGAATGAAGGACGGATACGAGCTTGGGTTCCGCAGCTTGGTCGTTCTGTTTATCTGATTGAGGACCTGCGGCGGAAGACGACGGGTCCAGTGGAGGGGCCCGGCACGGCGGGACCTTCGACGTGAGATCGAGGAGGCGATCTTTGCACTCGTTCACCCAGGGAATCCACGGGTTCATGTGACGGCGCCAGTCCTCCGTTCCAACGAGCTGTATGAACACGCGCTCGAGCGCTGCAACAAGCGACGGTGTGACCAGACTGCAGATGCCGTCTGAGGAATGGGAGTGGAATTGGAGTATGTCGTACAGGATCCACCGGAACCAGTAGGAGGCCTCCGGCGATACAGGCAACGACCAGTCAATTGTGTTGAGGAGCATTTCGAGGGAGGAGAGCGCGTGTGCGACGAACGGCTGGATCGCAGCGATGCCGTCGCACTCGCGGATCCTGGGCGCCGAGTCCTCGACGAGTTCCCAGATGGGGCGGATATGCTTCTGCATGAACTTGAACTCGCCGGTGAGGACGTCTTGAGAAGGCGCGTCTGCGCGTCGGAGGCCACGGTCACTGACGAGTGTTTGGATCCGGTGAGCTGCCGCGAAGGCAGCTGCGGTCACGGTGAGTGCTCTGACTTGGACGGCGTTGAAGGTGAAGTCGCAGACGCACCGAGTTGCAACGTTCCGGCGTCACGGATATTCTGGAACACGTTGTCGTACCACAATCTGTCCCATTCTGACTCTGCGCTCACGGGTTCGACAGTTCTTAGCATACTGACGAGCAGTCGGGTCCCGGTCGCTGCGTCGGGCGCCGTGGACATTTCGTGTGGAGTGGCAGCGGCGTCCGCCTCCACGCCGGGGGAATACGCAGGCCTGTGAGACGGGGTCAGCGTCGGGAATCGCACAAATGAAGGACGGATACGAGCTCGAGTTCCGCAGCTTGGTCGTTCTGTTTCTCCGATTGAGGACCTGCGGCGGAAGACGACGCGTCCGGTGGAGGCTAGGGGCCCGGCACGGCGGGACCTTCGACATGAGATCGAGGAGTCGATCTTTGCACTCGTCCACCCAGTGACTCTGCGGTCCATGTGACGCCAGTCCTCCGTTCCAACGAGCTGTATGAACACGCGCTCGAGCGTTGCAACAAGCGACGGTGTGACCAGATAGCGGATGCCGTCTGAGGAATGGGAGTGGAATCCGAGTATGTCGTACAGGATAGCACCGAACTGGCAGCAGCAGGCGTAGTCCGGTGATACAGGCAGGGACCAGTCAATCGTGCTGAGGAACTTTCAAAGGAGGAGAACGCGTGCGCGACGAACGGCTGGATCGCAGCGATGCCGTCGCACTCGCGGATCCTGGGCGCCGAGTACTCGATGAGTTGCCGGATGGGGCGGATATGCTTCCGCATGAACAAGAACTCCCCGGCGAGGACGTCTTGAGAAGGCAGGTCTGCGTGTCGGAGGCCACGGTCGCTGACGAGCGTTTGCATCCGGTGAGCTGCCACAAAGGCAGCTGCGGTCACGATCAGTGCTCTGACTTGGACAGGGTTGAAGTTGAAGTCGCAGGCGCACCAAGTTGCAACATTCTGATGTCACGGATCTCCAGGAACGTCCTGCTGAGCCACAGTTGTCCCATTCTGAGTCTGTGCTCGCAGGTTCGACCATTCTTTGCATGCTGAGGAAGAGCAGTTGGGTCCCAGTCTCGATATACTCAGATGAAGCGGGTGTGCTCGCCGGGGGGATAGCGCCTTTGTCTCCTCCACTCTCGAGCATTTCAACAGAGAATCCGCCGTACGCATGCAAGACGGGGATCGTAAACATCTTCTTCATAAAGTCTGGCCATTGAAG